AGAAGGTTGATGCTATAGGACTCAAAGGAGCATTCGGCCTTTTGCGCTTTACCCTTAGCATCAAAATAGCCCAGAAGCCTTATATGATAGGGTCTTGGGGCCCGAAAGCCTTAAAATAGGAGTCCTTCGATGCTAAGGGTTAGGGCCAAAGGGTCTCCAGTGGCCCAACAAAACAAGCGGCTGTGCCTCTCCACGGCCACCTCACGAAGTGAATTCAATCAATGGAAGAGGCTTTAGGGAGTTTACAGCTAAATAAGGAATACCCCTAGTCTCCGTTGTAGTTTCTGTTCTTTGGGTTTAACCAGTTATATGCCGAGGATCTATAAAGGGAACCCCCCCCCCAAAGGAACTACCAAGGAGGCTATAGGTAGTTTGGTCTGGCACCAGGATCGGGTCTTCACGTCTTAGGTGAAGCTCTTAGGGTGCAAGTCAATAAAATTAACACACGCCGGCAAATGCAACCCAGCAGCCTTGCCGGGCTTGGGGTTTAGGACTTAGGACCATGCTGAGCCCGGGCATTTGATCATTCGCTGCCTTCCCCGGTAACCAATCCATGATTCTTGCATAACCGTTATCATGCAACTCAGACATACTTGGAGGGGGGGGGCAAGCAAGGTGCAGGTACTGCCTGGGACGTGAATTGCGGGTGCGTGCAAAGCATACGTGCCTGCATTTCTGACGAGGATCCTTCAGCTTACCCATAGGCTCCATGGTAGGTCCTTTTTGGGATTACCTTATAGGATCCTAAATATGAACCACAAACAGGAACACCAATGGAGCCTATAGGTAAGCTCACATTACATCCTGAGTCGCAAGACCAGACTCGAAAGCCCTGGAACTGAAGCCCAAAGCGTTGGCGATTCCGGTTTAGGATTTAGGGTGTAGGGTTTAGGGTGTAGGGTGTTTGGTTTAGGGTTTAGGGTTCAGGGTGTAGGGTTTAGGGTTTCAGGGATTGCGGATCAACGTTGCAAAGACGCTGCAAATGCTCGAGGCCTGCGGCATGTTCATTAGAAGGACCCGGACACCCTCCAAGATAGATGGGACCCGAATTGCAGAGCTGCCGCAGAGAGTCCCCAGTTGGGTTTTGGAGCTTGCAACTTAGGAATTCAAGGTTAGGTCTGCGAGCTGTTGAGGAAGCCCTCAACCACCGAACGTGCCAAAACAGTGCACCTACCCAAATAGCATATACTTTGGCCCCAAACTTACCTGTATAGAGAATACTTTCAGGCCAAAGTATATACTATTTGGGTACATTATACAAGTGAATTAAATGACCCTCAGATGGCCTCAGACCAGCCACCAGGGAAGCAGCCAAGATCGAGGACTACCTGGCGAGGCTTCAGCATTTTGGGGGCTCTGTTGAAAGTTAAGAGGTTCAGGGATTGCTGTCATTGTTGTCCATGATCGGATCCTCGTATGTAGTATCCATGCAAAGATAGATGGATAGATGGATGGATAGCTAGCTAGCTAGCTAGATGGATAAATAGATATATATTGATGGATGGATGGATGGATGGATGGATGGATGGATGGATGGATGGATGGGTAGATCGGGTGATTGGTAGATAGATGGCAACAATGATTGCCATCAGAACCCTAGGCATTAGTCTCTTCTGACTTGGATTTCGGGCTTGGGGATTCGGGTTTAGGCTTCGGAGCCGGGATTGTGTATTTGGATTCAAGATCGAAGGAGTATAGGGCCTGCATGGCCTCATGTTTTGAGGGGCTCTCGTTTCCGTCTGGGCTTTCAGGCTTGGCGTAGCCCAAGCCAGGGTTGTAAAACTGGGTTTACCGTCAGGTTTCGGGTAATAGACTTGCTGATTGATTCATGCGTCGGAGGCTTGGAGTTTCTGGAAGGGGCAGTTGGTGTGGTGTCGATATATCCAGAGGAATTGAACGATCCAGACTCCCGAACCGTCTGTATTGAGACGTTTCATATACTGCTTCTCCCCAGTTCATAATGACAGAGGTCGTGAAGGTCTAGACCGTTGGAAGCACCAGCAAGTAATACTTACGAAGCCTGAGACTAAGGCATAAGAAAACCTTATACTGCTCGAATCCTAACTCTCAAACCATCCCAGGATAGAGAGCTCGGATTTCCCAAAACAAAAGCAAGATCAGCCTCTGCTCGCCCGCAGAATCTGTAGGTCTCTAGCATAGCATCTGGGACCAAAATCCTCCCCTAGTGAAAGACCTGACCGTGGCCTTTACAAGTCAAAGTCCGCAGACTGCAAGAAATACGGCAACAACAGCCCTCAAGCCTGCACAAACCCTAAACCCCTAGACCCCTAAACCCTATACCCTAGCCCCTTAAACCCCAAAGCCCTAAACCACTGAAGCCCTAAACCTTACCCCTTTCAAGGCTCTGCCGGGCCCACGGTGTCAGGTCGAAGTATGGAAAAGCGGTCGTCCATCTGCCTGCAACGAGGAGCCCGGGGCCCCGCTTCAGAGGTGGGAATTTAGGGCCTATAGGGTTTATAGGGTTTATAGTGGTTCAGGATTTAGGGGTTTAGGGGTTTAAGGGTTTAGGGGGTTAGGGGTTTAGGGATTTAGGGGTTTAGGGGCTTCGGGGTTTAACTTAGGGTCGTAGGGTGGCCTTGGCACATCAGAACCTGGGAACCCCCTTGTTCAACCATCGAGATGCACTCTGATCGAAGGCCGCAGAGGCACATGCCCTACTGCGAAAAGCTCCAGCAGCACAGGCCTAGTGTAAATGCTCCGGCTTTCTTTTCGAAACCTGCACCTTCCACAGGAAAGCTGGGAAGGTTCAACCAAAAGGAAGGGTTTAGAGTAATCACAACGTCGGAAAGCTACTGAGTGCGAGGATACTAAGAAAGCACCGCGGAGAATAGCCGGACACCATTTGTCGTCTTAGATGCCTAAACCCTCCTAAACTTAAACACTAAACCCTAAACCCTAAACCCCCTAAAGCCTAAACCCTCAACCCTCTAAACCCTAAACGTCCTAAACGTCCTAAACC